GTATATACATCTGTGTCAGTGTAAATTACTTGTACCTGATGATGACAAAACCTTGTCGAAACGTTGTACATTTGCTGTTATGTTGAACATAAGAGAAAATAATATTACACTATTACTAATGATTAAAATAAGAAGAAGAGGTAAGGTGCTGAGCCTAAAGGAACTACATCTGTAGTGAAAAATAGTTTAAAAAATTATAAACTTGAACTGAATACTTGTAATCAAGAAGATGCTAAAATCCTGTGTGTAATACAAGAACAAATAAAAATACGGTCAAATTTGTATTACAGCCAATCGTTCTATACTAAAGGCAAATGTTTTTCAATTTCTGAACATTGAAAATGAAATGCAATTAAGGTTGCATGTTTTAAAATTAAAACCTTTGGCAGATTCATTTAAACGTACACAATAATCAGCAGTTTGAGTTTAATGTAAAGAATTTTGATATCAAAGAGAAGATTACTTTGTTAAAATGAAAATATTGCCATGAAGACATGATACATTCAAAAAAAAATTCAAATACGCCAAAAAATATTGAATCTCAGCATGCTTATTGGTTTATAAATAAACTAACTACAACAATGTAATGAATCCAAAAAGATGAGAAAATGTAAACAGAAAAATGATGAAACGTAGTTTTTAATACATCTTCACTAAGAGGCATTACTTTGTTGATTCAATATATTAAAATTTGCCTTCAAGCCCTCATGTCACTCAAATTAAATGTGATGACTTCTTATACATTTTGCAGACATGACTCCTACTCCAACAACAAAAAAATAGCAGCAGTAGAATTGTCCTTTTGTGTGTGTGTGATAACATTTCTCCATTTTCAAAACAATCTATATACTTTGGAATATAAACAAAGAACCTTATACGGATCACATATCTCTTACGTAAAGGCACAGCTCAACAAAATATTTGGTTCAAAGGTTTCTTTAGGTTGAGCTTCAATAAACAGTGAAAACCAAATAACAATTCTAGCCAGACAACGATTTTATCAGGGAATGT